GACGCCATTAGAAAGACTATATTCGAAACTCTGAGAAAATCTCTCCAAAACTCTCTTCTCAGTAACGACCACTCTTTGATCTGTTAAATTTATGAAACACTACTCGTTAAATGTTTGTGAGAACTCAAAAGCGTGCTTTTCAGTTCGTAGGTGTTGAAGAAAACACAAAACATATAATAAAAGTTTTTAAACTAAAAAAAGAATATCACCCAAAGATTCAAAGGCCAAATCGTTTTAGGAGCGGCAGTTGTTGCACCGTCATTGCCGTCGTGGCATCGGCCCCATGAGATCAGCTGATCCCCGAAATTAATATAAAAAAATTGCCCTCTTTCCAGCTGTAAAGAGAATGAAGAAGAAGCAATGAAATTGAGTCGTTAGAGCTGCACTTGGAGACACTGTCATATCTTAAACCTTATTTGATAACACATATTAGACTACAAAGATCTTAAATTGCTGGAGATTGCAACACAAGAAATAGGTAGACAGAGAGAGATTTGGAATTCTGAGGTTTATGTGAGCAGACCCGGCATCAGAGACACGCTTTAGCCCTGAGCTTATCATTCTCCTGCCAGATGATCAATTTCTCGTTCTCTCCATCTACTGGTGAACATTCATCAGAGAAGAAACCAAATCTTATTGTAAATTGAGAACCCAAACGCAGCAAATTTAGACCCGACAAAATTACCTAGAACAAAACAGAAAACTGTAAATTATAAAACTCGCAAGAAAATAGAGGCACAGGAGCAGTTTTAAGAAACAATAGACAATTTCATAATGAACAAAGCAGAACGCAGCAAGAAGAAAAAAAACGTAAAAAGGCTAGACAAAAGTACAGACTACTTCCCTGCAGTTGCAAGAATCGAGAAATCGCAGTAAAAAAGCAAAACACATACATGTAGAATTCAGAAGACACTGTAAGAATTCATTATTCTAACATTACGAACAGAACAACTACAGTATACATGTAAAAGTTCACTAATTACGGACTACTTCATATACTCAATTGCATATAGATTATGGCCTTAAAAAATCCATGAATTTTTTAGTTAAAAAGAACAAGAGAAATAAAATGCAGGCTGATTGGAGATGAATTTACAGGAAATATAAGTAATTAACAAGGAAAGAAATGATTTTTCAGTGTTCTTGAACAAAAATTAAAAACATCAAGTCGGCCAAGAAAAAAAAAATTAAAAACACCGAGGATATGTACAAATGAATACACTTTCTGCTGGGTCAGCCCAATTGTACAGATATCAAATCGACCTTCAAAGCACGCAACCACTACCGTTCGTTGGTCTGAGCAGATTTTTCTGTTCGTCGTTCGAACATCACAATTGCTTTCTTGAGAGAGAGCTGCGCAACACAAGGAAATTGCAATAAGAACCCCAATATGTGAGTAGGGGGCGCCGCAGTGGAAGTGGATAAGAGAGAAATGATCAGGGTTCGTTCAAATAGAAATGAAATTTCAGCCGAGATTTTATAAAATGGCTCCAGAAGCCCTAATCCCCAAACTCATAGCAGAACTGAAGCTGAATTTTTTGATCCAATTGCAACCCCGAATGTCTATCTTCCACAAAGAACAAGAATTACAGTGTGAGTAAGAGAGATGGTGAGAGAAGAACGGGGGAGTTGGGAAGAAATATGCTCACCCGTTCAATTGGGCCACCACCGGCTGCGAGCGCGTGGATTCGCCGGAGCGGCGGAGTAGACGTTCAATGAGATGAAAATGCAATCGTCGACATTGATGGGATATGAATCGAGAATTTCAGAGATTGGGACTGAAGAGAGAAGGGGAAACGAGGGAGAAAATGAGGACATGAGGGAACGCCATTTTTTTGGGTTTGCCTTTTGACTGACGAAACGTGTGCAGGAGGAGATCAGAAAAACGTACTCATAATACAGTGTTAAAAAAGTCAGTGGCAGCGGTGTAAAATGGTGGCGCAATGCAGGGTATTTTGGTCCAAAAAGGACACGTGTCAGCACCAGAAATGTCCAAAGTTGTTTGGTTATATGTATTGTAGAGATATATATTTACACACCCACCATTAGAATCATTTTTATTTACACATATATATTACCATTAACTTATGTTTTCACTAATAGGAGTTGGCTCAAGTGGTAAGCAGTTTGATGTCCCTTAAGCAAGGTCTCGAGTTCGAGTCCTTGTGGATGCAGAAAACCCTTATTGGGAAACTCATCCACCACTACCAGGTGTGCGACCCGGGTCGACCAACGGATTAGTCGGGACATAGCTCCGGATACCGTGGCTGGTTACCAAAAAAACTTTATATTTTCAATTATACTAGCATTATTTGAAAATTAGCCTACATTAAGTTCTTTTAAACATACTAGTGTGTATCCCGTGCGATGCACGGCGGGCTCGTTTCTTAAAATATTTTTTAAAACTTTATTTTAAGAATATGTTAACTTGATAACAGTTTATATTAATAAATACTATTTTAACTTCTATATTTATTTTTTGATATAGACAAAATAATATAAGTAATTTTGTTCATTATAAAACTTCACTATTATTTTTTAAGAAAATTTATTATTGTATAAAGTCATTATTATTATTATTATTTATAACATTTATAGAAGTTTAACTATATATATATAATGATAAATACTTAATATACATTAATATTATTTAGTTATGTAAATAATTTAAAAATATTTAAACAAATTCAAAATAAATATTGTGTACGTATATGCATTCTATTCATTTTTAAAATTTGTTTTATTTCATAATAATATTTATGTGATTATTATTAACTTATCTATAGATGTATTTTTGTAAAGCATGATATGTAATCATAAAGGTTTTAGATAAAAAGTATATTTTATTGTTAAATCTATTGTGCACAAAAAAAAATGTGAAGGATTGACATATTATTTTATTATAATTACTTATACATAGATTAAATTTTTTCTAGGAATGTTTCAAAACTTAACTAACAGACGAAATATTTGATTTCAAAACAATATAGATATTATAATCATATAATTTATTTACTACGTTTATGGTTTATAATTATACTATAACTTCAGATTCTTTCTTTTTTATTTATTAAAGTGATTCCAAATTTTTAGAAAGATTGATGAATATTTTATTATGTATATAATAAATGTTAAAATGCAAAATAGTAAAAAAATTTCCAACATCTTAAGAAAATGAAATTTAAAAGTAAAGACAAAAAGAAAAGAAAAAGACGTAATATTAGGAAAAAGGAAAAAGAATATAGGAAAGAAAAAAATTATCATGCTTCATAGGAAGATTTTATAATATAACACTCAAACATTTTATTTTACTTTTTTCATTGTTTATAGTTCTAAATATCAAGTGAAGGATATTAAAATTAAATCAAAACAATACTCACAAAAAAAAAAACATTTTTTTTTTTTAAAATACATGGATAGAATTGAGATAAATATGGACATCAAGGTAAGATGGAATGTATATCTATTAGAAAAATAACTGATATTCATTTCAAAAATTCTAAATAATTCAAAAAAAATCATGGGCGGGAGAAACATAAAAAATTCAAAAAATAATTCCGTTAATAGTAAAAATCGAAAATATGAGCAGGAATCTTCATTTTTTTTTTTAGGTTTTTTCTTATTCCTATTATATAGTAATAGATATGAAAAATATATATAATAATAAATTTAATTTCATATTCTTAAGGATG